TTTTAAATGTTTTTTGCATGTGTGTGTGTTTGTCATGCAAAAGAATTCTATTAAAATATTAATTTCTTGAAAAGTGTGTTTGTAAGTTAAACCTTTTATTTTGAAAAGTTGTGTAATTTCCCTTTCCAACAATTCTTTTGCATTGTACTTTTCTCTACAAATGGAACAGTCTACTCAGCAATCATAAAAATTCTTGTTTGAAAAACTGGAGGACTAAGGAAAGTCACATAACTTTTCAATTGGATACTGTATTGAATTCAAGTGAACATATTTTGATGTAAGGAATGAGCTGAGCATCGTTTTCTTCTATAACTCTTTAAAGTGGACTTCATTCCAGTGTGAGACAATAGAATGAAAACCAACAAATTTCCTTTAGGAGAACATTTATAAAGAGTAAGCTGGAATAGACAATAGACTAAGAGATATAATTGTACATAAATAACTTCAACTGAGTTGAGTTATAGAAGAAAAACCAGAAACTGTATATGGCCCCCTTTTACCACAGTGTTAAGGAATCAGTTCAAATACCACCATTCCGTGACCCGCTCTGTAATGACCAAGTCCTGTTCTGAGTGGCTACAGCACTCAGTGTTTCTCATAAGGAACCACAGTAGTGGATGATATGCTCAGGAGCAGGAAATCCAAAAAGCAAAGAACAGGACCTAGAACAGAAACAAACGGGGATAGGCAAAGAAGAAAACCTGCAAAACACACAGACACCAAACCCAGATAAATATGGCATTGTAGCAACCATGACAAAAGAATGGTTACATTTTGGAAAACTGAGATGAAGAAAAATCATCCATCCATAATTCTGCCATCTAAAAAAGAAAACACACATTAAAAAAAAGAATGGCTAAAGAAAGAGGGTAGTGGTCAGTCAGCTATGTCAAATGCTGTGAGGATTAAGAGGTATCCAGATGCATTTAGCAGCAAAGAAATCATTGACGCTGAGTGCAAAACCCAGACCTCAATGTGTTTAGGAGGCATTAGCTATTTTGGAACATACTGATTTCAGGTTGAATTTAGGGAAGAATCACATTGTTTGAAAGCTTTTATTTGACTGAAGAATATCAATTCATTCTTAAATAGGTATGTGAGAAGGAGGCTCTGGGCCTGATATGTCTTTGACTGAAAGAAAAATAAATAATACTTATGCCTGATAACCATGACACATCACCCCACATTTGTTAGTAGCTTTCTACAGCTTAAAATATTGTTAAAAACATTAATTATTGCAATATCCCTAGGAGGCAGGTGTTAATACTCACGATATACAACTGTCAGACTCTGGTGATTGGATGAAAACAACTACACCATGAGTCATAAGTTACTACTACTTTCTTCACGAGAGTCATAATGCACAGGTATCTATCTAATGGTGGAAGCAATGTGTGACTGTCCCACAGGATTGCACATGCGTGTATAAACATTTCCAGCCATTGATCTTTATATAACTTTAGTGAGATAACAATTAATGCTCTTCCGTGTCCTTATATATCCTGAGTCAGCCTCGTGCACCGAACTTCGCCCTAATGTTCTCTCAGTTTACAAGTACATTTGACAGAGTTGTTATTTTCTTCCTTTTGTGTTTATTGCCTGTCTACTTCCACAGGTGTTGTTTTGCAAGTTTCATCACATCTCCTCAATTAAACTTCACTTTACTAACCAAGCAAACTTGATAATTATTGTTTTACTTTTCTGATTGAATTGGATCCTGTAAGGACACTGATTAGCCAGAGATACTTAGATATGATTTTCCCAGCAAACAAGTATTTCCAACCAGATACAAGACAATGACAATAGCAGGACTATGTTTTTAGACTTCTGGAGAAAGAGGAAAAATTAACTTAGCTGTGTTTAGGTTTCTGCTCATTTTCCTCTGAACCATGTAGAGGATTTTTTTGAAAGTAGAGAGACCAGAACTGAGCAAGTTAAACTATTAATTTTAAGAGATCACAGCAGTGGAAAAAGAGGATGATAAAATGAAGTTAGCATGTTAGTGTCACTACAGGCCATAGTGATAAAACAGCCACAACAATGTCGACAAATAGCAGACAATAAGGGCTTACTCCAAGCCTTCATTGTTTTCAGCTTGTTTAATTTTCACAGTCGTCTGAAGTGAGTTCTGTCCCATGTTAGAGCACAGCTGTCTGGGGATCAGCACGGTGGAAGTGACTCGCCGAAGGTCAACAGAGGTAGTGAGTTCAGAGCTGGGGTTTAAATGCAGGCTGTCAATTTCAAACTGCTCTTCCACAATTCTGTCTCTACTTCTCTACCTTTTAGACACACTTTCAAATACTGGAAGGTTTGACAATAAAGTTAGAGATGTTTGAAGGCCCCAAACAAGTCAGTGATAATTATAACCTGATCATTATTACTGTCTAACAATATCTCATAGTGCTATGAAACACCCATAGTTACTGTTCTAGCCACTTGTTTGCCCTTGAACATTGATTCATTGTTTAAGTTGAACTGCCTCCTTCCCGCACAAAGATCTTGCAGGTTCTAATAAAAAAGGATTTTTTGCGGGGCAGGGGAGGAGGGTGGTGGTGGTGGTGGTGGTGACCAGTTTCTACATTACATCATTTTTTAAAACTCTTGTTATGCACCAAATTTACCCCATCCTGTGCTATTGTGTGATCCACTCAACTTGCTGTCTGACAGATAACATGCAAACAGTGCTCTTATGTAATTGACATATTTTAATGTAATTTACATTTTATAGAGTTATCAGTGTACGTTTGTACCATACTATATTGTTTAAGAACCAATCGGTTTTTTTTTTAAGTTTAGGTGAGATTATACGTGAAAATCACTGACATTTATTATTACTAGGGGAGGGATAGATAATTAGTTTGTTTCACAAATACTTGCATACTTACTGTGTCAAACACTGTATTAGGAATTGGAGATACAAGGAAGATACAATCTAACCTATCAAAGACTTCCCTAGTAAAAAAATAATCATAATGGGATTATTGGTATAATAACAGTTTTTAAACTGTCACATGGATATACAGAGAAAGATCCAACTAAGTTTTGGGGGATTACAAAAGAAATTGTAACTGAGATGTGGCACTTGAGCTGTCTTTCAGATTAAGGAGAAAGTTACCAGGTAGACAATGGATGTTCAAATATAGGTCTTATACGCAGGGAGTACAGCATAAGCAAAGGTGTAGAGATATAACAGGATTTGGGGGGGTGGGTATGATTGAAGTTTCGATTGCATGGTCACAGTAATGGGTTGTGATGAGAGGAGGTTGGAAAGTGGATTGATATTGGACTGAGAGAAGTCATCCAGGTCAGATGAAAAATTTGGCCTTACTTAGGCAACGAGAGCCATAGACAGTTTAAATTCATCATTAGCTTTATATTTTATATCAGTAATTTGACTTTCCTTAAGAAACATGGATCGGAGGGTGATAGGAGCAGACTCCAAGGGACCAATTCATCAAACCTGAATGCCAGCAGTTCAAGAGACAATAAAAGTCAGAATCAATACAGTGGCAGTGGATTTCAGAGGCATTTCAGAGTCTCAAAAAAAAAAAAGGACTTAAAACGATCATTAGGGATGGGAGGAAGATAGAAAATGAGGGAAAAGAAGGAGTTAATGTCTTAATGATTGATGGTGCTTTTGCTAAGATTGGTGATACTGGAGGGAGAATAAATTGAGAGAGGAGAGAAAGATACTTATAGAATTCTAATTTTAATGTATTGAGTTTGAGATGATAGTGGAGAAGCCAAGAGCCCAGGCCCTCTTTGGTTATCATTTCCTAGGTGATCATATCAAAGTTCTGGTAATAACTCCAATCTCTCTTATCTGTTGTGGGTAAAGAAGAAACTTTGAATCTTGCATACAAATCCTTTACTCTGCAATTTAGAAAAAATATATTTTTACAAATGATAGTTTTTTTGTTATTTGATAAAATCAGCTTAAAACTTTCCCTACAGTTTACAAATTACAGTAACCTAAGGAAAGCATTAAATTGTGTTGATAAAATTGTTGGCCACAATCTGCCTGTAGTGATAATAGCTTAGAATAATGAAGCAGCAATATTCTAGCCCAAGAGAAAACAAACTTTATCCTGTACACATGTGTTCTTTTGTCTTTCTCATCTGAAGTCACTTGAAAATTTTATTTTTCCATTTTGAATAGTGGATTCTGCTAACAGTTTTAAAAGCTTTTCTCCTTTTAAGGGAGGAGGGGAAAAGTTTTTCCTCCCTTTTGTCTGATAGCTGAGGAGTGAAGATTTAATCGGTGAGAAAAATATACACACTACCAACCTCAGAATGTTCCTTCTGCTTTTAATGTTTGATGTGCCTGACAGATTACCCTTTCAAAACAGGATAATAGGATAGGTGGTGCTGGAAAAAACTTTTCCATGCAAGGCAAAACCTCATGGACGTTGAAAAGAACAAGCATTAGCCTTGTCATTTGGGGGAGGGGAAACATGTCCTTGGGGCCCAGATTCTATAGTGAAAGGCTTCCGTCTCTTTAAACACACACCCCAGGCTCCCTCCAGAAGGTGTAATGGAAAGAACATCAAACAAGAATCAGGAGACTTGGCATCTATTTCTGACTCTGCTGCTTTGTGGGATGGGCAAACCTTACCACTCTGCTTTGGCATCTTCATTTGCAAAAATTAACAGTTGCATTAGATTACTTCTGACTTTAACCAAAAATAAATACAATATGTTTTTGAACACCTCTACTTTCATATATATTCCTGTGCTCAATATAGATTGATTGTGAAAGAAAAAAACAACCCGAAGTCACATTATCCATTGTTTGCTAATGAGAAGACTAAGGCTCAGGGAATTCGAGAGATGTACTCAGTATCAGGAAGTTAGTGAGCATTTCTGAGGCAAGGCCTTCCTTTAACCAGTGTCCTTTCCATAATATTGCACTGCTGTTAAACAATTTCTGTTATTTGGCAAGAAGAACACGACAGATAGATAAAACTGAAACAGTAAAACTACCTACTATTCCTTACCTCAGGCAGACACAACTAAGAATTTAATGTAGTCTTCAGAACAACTCATCTCAAAGCTTCGAATGGCTGCTTGGGTATCTAGAAAGAGATCATGAAGAGGTATGAAAATTCAACAATGGGCCCTTTCTTATTCTTGCCAAGACTGAAGAAGCACAATTTAAAAGCTGAGGAGGAAATAAAATACTGAACCTATTGTATAAGAGAGATGCCTTGCAAATTATGAGGTAGTTAAAAAAATGTTTAGGTTTTTCCTTATCATTTTACAGACTACATGTTTTTGAGAATTGATATTTGTCCTCTGGAGGGGTGGGGATGCATTAAAGCATTTTGTGTGTACATTTTGCGTGTACACATATCCACTTGTTTTGGTAGTGACTGATGGACCATCTGTAGAATAAATCAAGAGAAAGGACTGATTCATACCAGAAGTGAGATCTTAAAAGAGACCAGTTGTTTAGAAATCTCTTCTCCACTCCCTCACCTGCCCTCCTCAACTCTTCTGAAGGCCCTGGGGAGTCAAGAGCTATCACTATCTTTTCTTTGAAAGTCCTCAGGAAGCTGAGAACAGGACTGGCTTAAGCTTTGTGATGGGTACAGGATTATGGGTGAGTGATGTAGGGAGAGGGGAGACCAATCCTCTGCGTTGGAGGGAGGATGGAGAGTGGACCACAGATGTTAAAAGAACAGAGAGGGGAACTTGATAATGATAGGATGGGAAGGAAGGAGAAAGAGGTCAGAAATAAGAAAAGGTCACAAGGAGGCCCCACTGTGAATAGCTGGAGTCCTTGGACTCAGATAAACAAGCAAAGCCTGCAGTATTAGGTTCTTCTTACCCTTGTCCATTCTGCCACAGACATATCTTGCAAATTGATTCCACCCACTTCTCTGTAATCTACTGCTACTGTTTTAGTCTAAGACCACTCTCCTCTTTCCTGAGGTTATTGCCACAGAATCCTACCGGAGCTGCCAGCACCAGGTACTCAATTATTGTCATCTCTTAGTACATTCCAAACAGTACAGCCAGAGAGATCTAAAATGCAAATCAGATCTTGTTGCATCCCAGTCTTGACCCCTTTCATTGCTCTCCACTTTGCCCTCATGGTCAATTTCAAGCTTTCTAGTGTGGGGGCATAAGTCCCTTTCTGATTTTTTCTGCTTATTTCTCCTGCTTCAGGCGTCACTACCCTCCACCTCACAGATGATGTATCAGCCATAATTAGTTCCTAGTAAGACTTTATTGCCTTTTCTTCTCTATCCTCAAGGCTTTTCTCTCTGTTGTGAGATTCTCTTTCCTCTTCCCATAATGTCTCCTTCTAAACTTTTCTCCAAATAATATGTAATAATCCTTCAGATTTCAGAGCAGATGTCACTTCCCCGGGGAACATTTCCTTGATCTCTCACTGCAAACATGCTCCCCTTGAAGTTCCCATAGCACATGGTGATCACTTCATAGTAGGATTTATCACCTTCTTCTGGTAGCCTGTTTACTTGTCTGAATTCTCCACTAGTCTTTAAACTTCTTAAGTATAGAGACTTCTTTGTGCATCATTTTAACTTCTTTCCCCAAAACAATTTCAGGTATTTGACACTCACAAGAAGTTTGCCCTTCTTTCCTTTCTGTGGAAGCAGTAAATGGCTCTTAAGCATCATGCACAAAATAGCTCTCCAGCTAAAGACAGCTCAGATACTCATGTAGTCTTATTTTGCCTCAAACAAACAATTCTGCCTCTTGAGTTTGTTCATTAATCAAGACTTTATCCTGCAGCTCTAAAAATTGACTGTTACCTCCTGAGACATCCCAGTCTTGGATTCTGTTTTATTCCATAGATTAAGTTTGCCTTTGGCCAACTTTCCATATCTGTGGCCTGTGAAAATTGAACTTGGGATTGAAAACCTGTAAGTAGTTGGAAGTGTGGGAAGGAAAGAAAAGGGTATGGGGCTTCTCCTCCTGCACTTCTCAAACTCCCAAGCTGAACTTCCCTCTTCAACGTGCTCCTCTCTGACCCACACTCAGTCACAAAGATTTATCTGTGTAGGAAATATATTTCCTACACATGTCATAGTAGAGCTCCTACTCTAACCATGTTTCTTGGATTTCTGTCCCTGTCTGAATTCTCCCCTTTCCAGTTAAAATGGAAACTAGATTAGAACCGTATTCTATATGGATATGATCAGAATAAAATAAAACAAGAGAACTGCTTCAGGCATAGAAGCTTACACTGTAAGATTCAGTTATTACAAATAATTATTGCTTAACTACAGTGTTCTTAATCAGCATTCTTAAATATTTTGGGTCTTTAGAAATTTGTTTGTTTATTTTTCATTAATATGCAGTATCTGTTATCTCAGTGGATTCTAAAATGGTTGGCTAACCTTCTGATCTAAGACGGGGGACTGAACATTTGTATTGACTAACTATGTTTCTCCATACCTCCCTAAAGTAAAACTGTAGATGTACAAAATGAAATAGACCTGTACAGCAAAGGAAAGGATGAGCAGATGAGAGATTCAAGAAGAATTTTCGTAAATGAAAGGTAAATTTAACAGTAGAATATAGAATTATCAGATGTGTTTGGAAGACCAACAGCATGGGTAAGACAATCCCCCCAAAACCAAATTGACCCCCTTGGAAAATGGAAGTAACTTGAGAATACAGACATGAACTAAAAGTAAGTCATTGAAACCAACAACTAATTATTTAATGTATTCAGAGAGAATTGGGAAATCATTACATGCATAAAATGATAGTACAGTGAAAAAATCTGCACTCTGTGTCAGGGGGTGTGTGTGTATATGTGTGTTTAAGCATATATGGGTAAGAGCCAGGAAAATCTTCATAAAGGAAGTGCTGGGCTGAGCTTATTGAAAAAGTAGATGCACTGTTCTCCAGAGAGATGGAGAAGCAGGGCATTTGGGGCAGAGGAAGCAACATCAACAAAACACAGTGAAGTCCAGAAAACTGTAGATAACTGCACAGAGATTACAGGGCTGAAGTGTGCATAGAAAGAGGTCAGCCTGCTGAGGTAGACATGAACTGGTTCATAAAGGGCTCCAGACTTTTGGAGCCATGCTAAAGAGTTGGTATGTTTTTGTTTGTTTGATTATATTGTCGGTAATGAGAAATAAACACTTTTGTGGAGATAATTGAGGAAGGGATTCATGTGATCAAATGTGCTTCAGGTTGATTGTGCTGAGTGCTGTTTGTTAGATGGACTCCAAAGGTTAAGACTTGAAGCAGGAAAAAGAACCAGTCGATGAGAGAGCTTGAGCTAAGGTGGTGGCATTGGGGCAAGACTGCACTTAGTTGAGCCTGGTGGCAACGTTTATCTAGACAGAGAATACAGGATGAGGAGCAGATTTCAGAGGAACATAATGAGCCCTTTTTTAGCTCTTTGTGAATGTTCAGAAATGGCAGCTGGTGTTGCATAATTGTAAAATTGGGGCTTAGCTTAGTTATTGGCTTCTAAGAACAAAATGCTTTCCTTTTTTTCCTCTGGCCTACTCTTTGAAAAATGACACCAAGGGGTGGGGCTCAAAGGGTGTTTTTTTGAATAAAGACCTTTTCTTCACATCTTTCTTTATCGTATCTTGTGCCCCTTCTAGACATTTTGGCTGGTTGTGCTGATTACAGCAGTAATCCATGATCGTGGCAAAAGTTCAAACAAAACAAAAATGTAGAAAGTACAGAATAAAGCCCTTGAAGTAGCTTCCCACAGACAACTTACACTAACACTTTGGTCTACAGTCTCCCAGATTTTTTTTTTTTTAGCATATATTCTTTTACTTGACCATGCACTGTATTTTGTGGAATCTTACTATCATACTGCTGTTTAATTCATTTCTTTCATTTTTAAGTTGAAATATTTCAAATATACAGAAAAACAAAGATAAGATAACATCTATATATCCAGCACTTACATTTAAGAGAAATCAACACATTTCCAAATCCTTTCGGTAAGTAAAATTTCCGATATAGCCAAACCACGTAATTGCTTTCACTTCTCTCTTTCTTTCTCTCTCTCCTCTGACCCTTTCTGTATCCCAGAGGTTTGAACTATCCTGAAGTTGATGTGAATCAGTCTTGTGCATGTTTTGAAATAATTTTCTACATATGTATCTGTCCAGAAACAATATATAGTGACATTTTCTCTTATTCTATTATTTTCGTTAAATGTTAATACTTAGATTTCATACTGTATATATCCTTTTTCAGTTTGCTTTTGTTAAATGCAACATTATACTTTTGAGATTTATCATGTTAATTCATGTAGATTAATTTTACTTTAAAATCTACTCTGTGAAACACAACTCTACTTTTCTGATCACCCAGTGAGAATAACACCATGTTACCAACAGTGCTGTAAATTGTATCCTTGAACATCTCTCTTTGTATAAATATGAAAGACTTTCATAAAAGTGGGACTATGGGAGGTGCCTGTACTCAGCTTTACTAGATTGACAGATGGCTTTCCAAAGGGGCCATACCAGTTTACATTCCCACCAGCCATTTGTACACTTTTCTGATTCCTTTCATTCTTTGCCAAAACTTGCTTTTTTTAGACTTAAAATTTTTGTCAGTCATGTTGGTTACAAAATGGTAGTTTTATGTGTCAACTTGACTGGGCCATAGGGTGCCCAGATATTTAATTAAACATTATCTGAATGCGTCTGCGAAGGTATTTCTGGATAAGAGAAACATTTGAATTGGTAGTAAATTGCCTCCCCAGTCGGGATGGGTCTCATCCAACCTATTGAAAACCTGAAGAGAACAAAAAGGAAGAGTAAGGGGAAATTCTGTCTTCCTGCCTATCTTTGAGTAGGGACAAGGATCTTCTCTTGCTTTCACAATAGGACTCAGATTAGAACTTATACCATTGGCTCTCTTGGTTCTTCTGACTTAGACTGAAACCATATCATCAGCTTTCCTCTCCAGCTTGCTGACTTGACCTCCATAACTGCATGAGCCAATTCTTTATAGCATATCTATATCTGTCTGTCTGTCTGTCTGTCTGCCTATCTATCTATCCATCCATCCATTTGTCTCCTATCGGTTCTGTTTCTCTAGAGAACCCAGAGTGTATTAGCATCTCATTATTGTCTAAGTAGGCATTTCCCTTAATAACTAGCAAGGCTGAAAATTTTTTCCCTACATCAACCTTTTGGATTTTGTCTTAAGAATTTTCTACTCATATACTTTACCCATTTTTATGTATCTAGTCATAGCCCATCCAATTGTTCTTTCTCACTTTAGGGATATCCTTTCCATCTTCACTCCCTACACCCAGAATTTTTAATGTCATATCTGTTTGAATATAAATTGAAGAAAATGAAGGCTAATGCAGAATAAAGAAGGGTGCTGTAGGCAGATGAGCAGTGTGTCCTTCTGTAAATAGGGGGTTTAGAATAAGAGGAAGTAAATGAATGTGCAACCTCAAAATCCACCTCTCACAAATGGCCTCAGAGTACATGATGACACTGGCATGCTGTGCAGACATTTTCTACCCACCACAATGATTCCGTACTGCATGTGGACCTTGGAAGAGAACACCCCTCACTTTAAGCCATTAAGGAAGCAAGTAATAGTTTTCCTTTGTATGGTTTATAATGATCCTAAATCACTCTCAGAAAAAAATCTCACTCATTTCATCCTCTTTAATTAGGATTTCTGTTTCTGCAACATTTTAATGGTATTTATGTCAAATGTTTACTTTTCAGAATGTCTCCCTTTTTGTCTTTTTTTTTTTTCTGTTTTGATTAGGCTATAGCCATGCTCTGTGTTCCACATGGATGTTCCTTGGAAACTAAGCATTTTTGAGATGGCGGGATTGGGACTAGTAAAAGAGAACAGGATGATCTGTGAGCAGTGTCTCCTCCAGTTCAGGTGGTTAAGGAACACAGATAGGGGAGTGTGTTGAGTGACCTTTGTTTAATGGGGTGCCCAAGCCTCGGTGCTCCAGTGTGGGTGACTGTCCTGACTGGCCCCGTGGCTCAAGAACTGCTGTGATATCAGGGCTGTAAAACAAAGATCTAAGTATGCTGCCATGACTGCTCCCATTACAGAGGTGGTACTCCTTTCCAGTTGAAAATTTTCTTTTGCCACAGTCCCCATCAAATCAGATTGAGTTGATGGTCCAATTTCAAAGCATGTTTCCTTTTACAATAGGCATTTCATATCACTCTTTTCTCCAATAATACGGAAGCAGTTTTGAAACTTGACTGGAAACCTTATCCATCCACAAGGAGATTGTAAAAGGCCACCTGCTAACCATAGGAATCCCAGACTGATATAGGCTGCCAAGTTCATTTAAGGCGGATAATGGTTATTTCTCTATCACTTTCTAAACCTATCCTCACTCTACAATAGGGGTCATGAGAAGTGTGATGCGTGCCTAAGGTGAAACTTCAGGAATCAATTCTTCTGAAAAGTGTCCTCTACTTACTCTTCCTACAGTCCCCATGTCCTCTCACATTTCCCTGTGTGTTGGTCAGAGTTTTCCAGAGAAACAGAAACAGTAGGATATATAGAAATATACATGAGAGGAGATTTATTATAAGAATTGGCTCACACAATTAAGGAGGCCAGGAAGTCCACCTGCTGTCTGCAAGGTGGAGAACCAAGAAAGAGAGTGGTGTAATTCTGTCAGAGTTCGAAGGCCTGAGAACCAGGGAAGCCAGTGTCCAAGGGCAGGAGAAGATGACGTCCCAGCTCAAGTAAAGAGAGCAAATTCACCCTTCTTCTACTTTTTTGTTCTATTGAGACTCTCAGTAGGTTGAGTGATGCCCACCTATATTGGTAAGAGCAATCTTTTCTCAATCTAGTGATTCAAATGCTAATCTCATCTGGAAATACCCAGCAATATTATCTTGCCAGCTATCTGGGCATCCCTTAGTCCAATCAGGTTGACATGTAAAGTTAACCATCACACTGGATTCTCCTTCATTGTTGGAATTACTCATTCACTGTAACTGTTCACTTATCTGTCTCCATCATAAAGCACAAACTCCTAGAAGAGCAGGACCAGTGCTGTCTGTTCGATCCTCCAGACCTATATGCTTGTGGGATGATTTTAGTGGCTGGAGTTGGGTGTGGGGAAAGGAGCCAGCTGCCAACTGTCATGAGGCTCCTGTGCTTCTTTTGGCCAGCCTTCTCCCCTCCCCCACCCTGACCTCCTTTTCACCTCCATCTCTCTGCTAAAAAGGAGATAAATAATACTACACTTGCACAATGGATTTACATGTATTGTCTCATTTGTATTATTATTCCACAATAGTAGATGAGGTTTGAAAACTAAATACCATGTTCTTAAATTTGCAGATCTCTGGAACAAGAATTGGGAACAACGACAACATTCTGAGCTTCCCAGAAGGTAACAAGTATGGGGACTTTTGTGGACATCTGAGAGAAGTACATGCACAGATGGTTCGCCTTTTATTGGCCCATTTTGCCCAGAAGGCAACATGAACTGAAACAAAGGAGTCTTATACCAGAAGGGTGTGGGGTCACAGCAGCCTTCAGGGTGGCTCTGGGTCCTTGCTCTGGCCTCTCTCTCTCTCTTTCCCTTCCGGTTTGTTCTATATTTCTCATCTTGTTACTTCACAATCTAGGACTTGTGACATTTTTCTTCTCTGGAGTAGAAATGACAGAGCTGTCAGCATTAGTTTCTGATTGGTATCTCTGAGTCAGGCAAGAGGGCTGAGGTGATTAAACCTGGGTTCACATGTAGCTTCCCAATAGCCAAACAAGTATTCAGAAGTATAGGAAGAGCTTGTTAGGGAACGATACCCAGGAGAATGGTTTTGTTGGTAAACTCAGTGGAAGGGGGGTTTCTTTTGTTTCTAAGGAGAAGGCTCTGCTTGGGTGGGAGCCTTGTGGCAGAATCTCCATTAAGATGTCAAAGTAAACTGTATGAAATCACTTAGGAAGTAGCTCAGATTCAAAAATCCAACTTTATAGACAAGAACTGTGATCATGGTAAGCTCGGACAACTGTAATATAGTTGGCCAAGAGGAGCCCCGTGAATATGTCAAATAATCTCAGCTTGTGGGTCAAATGTATCATGATCTTTTCCCTCTCTCTTCTCTCTCCCCTTTCTCCTGCTCCTCCTCTCCCTCTTCTCTTTCCTCTGACCTCTTCCTCTAGACCCTCTTCCTTCTAGTCTCTCCCTTCCCTCCTCTATCTCCTGTGATCTCTCTTTCATGTGCTCAGTTCCCGTTTGCATCAACAAACATGTACCGAACTCGTGCTTGTGCCAATTACCGTGCTAAGAGCTGAGCTGTCAGGGTGAATCAGTTCTGTTTCCTGCTCAGCAGCAAGGCATTATTTGATGGGCTTTGCCAGGCCCCTTCCTACATCCCTAGCTTCTGTTTCCTAGAACACACCCCACTCATCAGCCTTGGCACTCTTTTTTTTTTAATCTTTTTTTTAGGAGAGGTAATTAGGTTTATTTATTATTCTTATATATTTTTCTTTTTCTTTCCTTTGTGCAAGAGGGAGGTAATTAGGTTTATTTATTTTAAAGGAGGTGCTGGGGATTGTACCCAGGACCTCATGCATACTAAGCATGCACTCTACCACTTGAGCTATACCCTCCCCAAGCCTTGGCATTCTTATTCTCTAATATGGGCAACTGGGACTTTTCTCGATCTTATCAAAATTATCCTCAGAAAAAACTTGTTTTTTTACTGACTTGTAGTGTATAATCTAAAGGTGCAGAATGTACTTACTGTTTAAAACAATCTAAAACGATTGTTTTAGATCAAGTCCCCCGGGTAGAGCCTCCAACTGCTCCTTTTCCAATAACATCTCTGCCCCTTGCTTCTCCTCTTAGAAGTTCTGGAGCTGCCATTGTTTCTGCCCTCAGGTGGCTCACCACCTAGGGAAGTAATGTTCAGATTAATTGCTTTAAAATTCTTTAATCACCCTGAGAGTTGATATGACTGGGTGGCACCACTGATTTAGAAATGCCCAGTTTAGCAGACTGTTGTGCTTGAGCCCCAGGGATGGGTGAAGCAAAGGAACAAGAAGCCAACGATTCTCAGGGCACTCACTTTGATTGCATAACAGGGAGAAGTGTCAATTAACACAGGTACTGGCTGGAACACCCCGTAATGCCTCCATTTCTAGTCAGATCAAAAACAGTTCACCCTGTAAATAAGTAATAGCTTAGTTTCTGTTGCAGGCTGATTGAGATCAGCTAACCTTTAGGCAAAGAGCATGACTCTTTTCTTGCTAAAGCTTTTGGCAAACTCTTTTCAGCTTTATGCAAGGGATTAGGTTAACTCTTGTAAAACTGGTTCACCAGGAACAATGACTAAGTGGATTTTTTTTGTATCTGGCATATTATGTCTGAGCAGCTGTAAACACATTTACAAGCTGGAGTTTCAAGGGAGGAGAGGATTAGCCTGCTGGAAAACAAGCCAACTGCGTATGGGCCTTCACCCAGCCAGCATACTGTGTTTTCATCTTCACTTCTTGCAATTTTATTTTCTTTCTCAAGGACTTTGACCATGTCATTTTTCCTTTAACACTAATAATTTCTCTCCACCCTGCTCCCATCGTGAATGTATGTGTGTGTGTGTGTGTGTGTGTGTGTGTGTGTGTGTGGTGATGCTTTCTGATATCTCAACAAGGGGTGGAGAATCCTAGGCAAGTATGTCCATGTTATTAAATGTCTGTCTGCTTTTTAACCTCTCCAATGACGAAAGCCAACTGACAAACAAGCGATGCTCTTATCCCCCTCTTTGAAGTCAGCAAATTTGAAAGCCGAGAGAAATTTTCTTTCAAACAGGAAGTGTTTCAGAGTCTGAACAACTTTGCATTTAGACAGTGCAGCTTTCAGTTCCAGATCTTGGCAGTGGGGCAGGCAGGGGGTGTGGCAACTACAGACTTTGCTACCGGGCAGTGTTTCCTACGGTGTGTTCCCAGGAGTTACCGACAGGAGGGACGCTACAAACAAATTTACTGAAACAAGGATTTCCAATGAGGGACCTTTCTTAAAGTATTAATTATGCTAATATGCCTTGAGCAGAGTCAAAGATGAGTTATAATACGTGTCGTTTTTCATATTTATCATCGAAACCACGTCACCCGCAGCCTTTCTCTAAGACTAGCATTATGAGAAACACACTTTAGTGGTGCCTGAGGGCCCAGGGAAGGAATAGAATGAATGAGGCCTCCTAGAATAGAAAACTCACCCATCATAGTTCCAGTTGATGCTGGTTGGTGGATAATTTTCCACTTTCTACCACTGGAATTGATCTGAGGAGAGTAGACCGAAATGAGGATTGCTCTTTGAGGATCCAGGGCTTCTGGAATTTTCCCTCTTCCTCTTTACTTTGTACTACGACCATGTTCACTTTGAAAAATCAGCATAGTCCATTTGCTTACAGAGCTGAGCCTTTCTTCACAGTGAGGGATTGTAACCACCCATATAGTTAGCATGATTTATAACCTGTTCATTAGCCTATTTTAAAGTTCAAGTCAAAATCTGGTAACCTAAGTACACACTCTAACTTTTACCACTACCCTTTCTTCTTCCCTGCAAGCTGCCTTCTCTGGTTTCTACTAACTCATTACTGCCCTTGAATTTACAGCTTTGTCTCCCTTGTTCCCTGTGTCACCTGCTTGGTCTCTGTTGTCCAGGATTCTGCCTTGGAAATCTCAGACTCACTTTTGTATATGTCCCTGGACTCAATTCTGACTGGCCTCAGAATCACCCAGTCTCTTCATGCCAATCCCTTTGATTTCACTCAGTCTTTTGATTCAAGGATGAGGCCTAGAGAGCTCCACTTCTAAATGGCAGCCCAGTGGGTTCTGATGCCTGCCCAGGATTGAGAAACACTGAGCTAGGTTCTGGGAACACAGCCCTGTCTTTTACCCTGGAGCCCCTCCTGGGTCATGATTCCATTTCCCCTACCTCTGCCTTTCAGAGGGAATAAAAATGGAAGTATTTGTAAAAGTTTCTACTATGTCCCAGGTGCTTCAAACATGTTATTTCGTTTAATTTTCACAATACTCTTATGGAGTATATACTATCACCTTTATTTTGAGGATAAGGAAAGCAAAATTCAGAGAGTCTGGGCAATTTTACCAAAGGCTTACAATTAAGGAATGACAGAGCAGGGGTTCAGCCTCCAATCCAGCAGAATCTACAACCTTGCTATTTAAAAAGTGTGGTCCCTGGGATCTTGCTAGAAATGCAAATATCTGGGTGCCATCTCAGATCTGCTGAATCAGTTTCTATAGGTGTAAGGTCCAGAAATCTATATTTTATCAATTCCCTCCAAGTGATTTTGATGTATCCTAAAGTTTAAGAAGCATCAACCTAGAGTACCATATATTTCCCCACTATATTGCCTTTGTCTTTTCCCTCATTTCTTGCCTTGGAAGAATTGCCTTATTTCTTTCCCAGTAACCCCATTATCAGCTCACTGTGCAGCCTCACTCGTATCTTTCTCAACCAGCAGTTTTATTACACACACACTTGTCATTTCCTTTACAACATTTGTGGTATCTGATGAGTCAGCATGGGGCTCCAATCTGGCTTCAGGTTTTGCCATATCTTGCCTCAGTTTCTCAACATCTTCCCTTGCGTGTTTTAAGGCATTGAGGACACTGACTTCCAACCTTCTTTTCTAGACTTGGAGGTGCTCACGGGCACATGGGCACATACCTCCCCCCTGCACTCCTCCCCTCTTAAATTTGATCATACCATCTAGCTGCCACATTCATTTATATATACCACAGCTGGGTAATCCACACTGGTGGTCTACTTCAAGTTCAGATTCCCAGACAAAGAAATGCAAACATCCAGTGGCCTTGGAAAGGGTCATTTAGCATTGAACTATGTCTCTCCCAAGTGAAGCAAGGGTGGGAAGATTTTTGAACATGAATCTGCTGATAACATGGCACCTCTTCAAAACTTGAATCTTATTCAGGGTGGGATGATGTCCAAATCAAAT